TATGTAATATTACTACTTAATTTCAGGTTCAATCCATGATAACGTTGAACAGAATAAGAGAAGGGACAACTCTGACGAGCCCACAAGTCAGGATGACTTTAGACGGTTCACTGTACACCCTAACCAGGCCGGAGGAATGGGAGTAATGTTCGCGAAGAAGGTCCACGCCCTCTATCCAAGAATATTTTACAGGTCCAACTTATCCACTGAGTCGAAGGCTTCTTTACAGTCGAGGAAAACCGCCGTTGTTGGCCGATAGTATATGTGACGATGCTCTAGCATGTGGCGCAATGCAAAGATAGGATCCGTGTACTCTCGACCCACTCAACCCTGCACTGACGATGTCACCTCGATTGGTGATGAAACGTTTGCAATCCAACTGACAAGCTCGGCGAACAGATCAACAACCGAACAGCGCACCCGAGCTATATACATTCTACAACATTGCTAGAACGAAATCTTGCTTGGTGCTCTCGGCCTGCTTCTCACTTATCGAAAAAGGCGTCACAATATGGCGGAAGGCGGTGGTCATATTACCATATGCATGAGACTCACCTGGCGCCAGAAATGACGCAGATGGACAAACGTGATTCGGACCTTAGGGAACCGAGCACTGACTTCGTCAGGTACTTTTCCGTCAGATCTAATACAACTACCAAGGTAGGCAAACTTCTCCACAACTCCCCTACCTCCCCTTAAATCATAGAAAGGCTGTTCAGAGACTTCACGCTTTAAAGCGTGACTTTGAAATCTGTGAGTGCAAGACGCATGCCGAAAGATGACATGATGATGACCAGTTTATTGGAGTTTTTTCCTGGTCTTGGTCTGCACAGTGCATGTCGATAGGATTCTCATCAACAAAGGCCTTTCGAAGTTCGCCTCAATATTTAATCGATGACAGAGTTGAACAAAAATGAAGATGATGAATGTTCTTTCCGGATGCCGGTTCTTCTGGTGAAGCTGTAGATAGCTCCCAGTAAACTTGTACCAGTCCGGGAGTATGCGACTATAGGGACCGGATTATGTTCACAAACTCTCCGGGGCATCATCATCATCGTCATCATCATCATCAAAAACAGCAACATCAGTGTTGGCACTGATGCTTCACTGCCG